TCTCTCTCTCTCTCTCTCTCTCTCTCTCTCTCTCTCTCTCTCTCTCTCTCTCTCTCTCTCGGTGTGTAATTTAACTTCACGGTTTAATCTTTCCGATGCGAATGCCAGGTAATAACGTAAGAGGAATTATCGTTCGAAGTAGCCCAACTATCGCGGGGGTTATTATCGCGATAATCGTGTCATCGGTTTGCAATTAAGTCTAGAGTTGCTTCATTCGCGAAAATATCCGAGTTATAGAATACGTAACGTTCGAAAATTGGGTGTCGTCGGATTTTTTTAATATTTTATTCTTCCCTCGATGGAACTTTTGGATTAAAAATTTGGATCGATGAACATTTTGTTGAAGATTGTCGCATGTATTTTCTACGTGTCTCAATTCTCCAAAAATGTTTGATTCTCTTTTCTATCAAATTTCATTCTTCTACAAAACCATCTCGTTAAATATTTTCAAATTGATCATTTTACGCCTAATTAGAATTTATAAATTCAAAATTCTACTATATCACATACTACTTTCTCGAAAATAAATTTAACTCGAAGACAAATTATCTTCGAAAACTCTTCCATCTCCGAGAGAGAGAGGGATTAAACAAGAAACAAACAAACCGCACTATTGAACGCGATCTCGAGCAACATAATCGAGCAATTTCCAGGAAAATTTCATCTCCAACCTCGGTAACGAAAATAGTTTCGCATTAACACGTAACCGTCCCGTTTAATTCCGTTATCGATTGTACCCGTGGTGGCGAGAACTCGACTCGTTAGTCCAGTTTCCTCCTGAGCGTGGAACCGTGGACCGTCCCCCTCCCCCTCCCCCCATTCTTCTCGCGACACCAGAAGGGAAAAGCGTGGAAAAGCGCACGGACAAATTCAGCCACGCGACCATGGAAGTTTAAATCAGAAACGGCGCAAACGCAAATTTGCTTAATTATTCAGCGCAGAACGTTAACCAGTCGAGAGAGCGTGGCTGCGCGTTCCTCGTAGTAATTGTAGTGGTCGTTTATAGTTGAACGACTCTCGTCGCGTTGCAATTGTCTGTTGTCAGGAGTGGCACTCTTACATCCGGCCGGTGTTAAAAGGCCGTCAACTCGAGAACGTCTCGATTTTTTCTCTCTCTCTCTCTCTCTCTCTCTCTCTTTCTTCTTTCTCTCTCTCCCCCTCCCAAGCTAGTTTACTAGTGAACTTGCGAGTGAGAAACGAAGCTTTCGAATCCTTGGAAGTTTTTTCCTCCCTCCTCCTCTTCTCTCTGCTTGTTCTTTCTTTATGATTTTTTTGTTTTTTGTTTTTTTTTTTTCGAGAAGTTGACAGAAAGAGATCGACTAATGAATCGACACCTCCGTGTTTCTTGGTTGAATCGTTGTTTAACGAGTTTGCCCATCGAAACAGTTTACCCGCCCTTTGAAGGGCCCTTTTGTGTTTCGTAACTCGCTCGATACGAATGGAAGGTTGTTGTTACCCCTGTAAATTTTCGTTGGTCCTCGATTGTTGCTCCGTGAAACGGGTGGTTACTTGTTCAATTAAGATCCCCATTGTGGTGTGTTATTCCATCCTAAAGGGGGAATCAAAACTCGTTTAAGCAATTTTCTAATATTTCTCCCTTTAGAAAAGAACAAGAATATTTATCGTAATACCGTAACTACTTCAATAGCTTTTTGATAAGATTATAAAATATAAATAAGAGTAAGAAAAAAAGTCTAGGGAAAAAAAAAAGAAGATTTAACAATATCTTTAGAATTTCTCTTCGTGACCACGATATCTTAATAAAATTATAGAATCCGAAATAGAAGATCCTTAAAATCATCGCGATTATATATAGTTATAAAATGAGAGAAGTTCCAAATAAAAACATTTCTTGAATTATCTGCTAACTTTGAACGGTTGAAAAGGGAATAAAATGTAAAAAAAAAAAGGGTATTTCGATTTAACAACCCGATTTAACTTGGATAATAAGTCCATTCTTATATTTTTTCCCGAATAAAACCAGTTTACTCGCGCGCATCTACATATGAATCGAAATCCCATCGGGTACACGTACACGAGTATCTACATATTAATGCACGCGCACACGTTGAAAGCCCGTCGTGCATTGTCGCATAGATGCATAGGGTGGTACACTAGTTCCGCTG